CCAAGTGATATTAGTATACTACTAGGTGTGGAGAGACACCTGCTGGGGGAAATCAGTAATCCAAGTGATATTAGTATACTACTAGGTGTGGAGAGACACCTGCTGGGGAAAGCTTCTTACCCTTACTACATCTTCCTTTCGTTCTTGGCTTGCTGCCAGATGTGGGAACTGTTGGTACTTTGGATGATTGTGAGGTCTTAGGAGAGAAAAATTGGCTAGGAACGTGAAAGCCGTAGCTCGCGTTGGATATATCAGCAGGGGGTGGAGGTCCAGTCAAATGAGGACCTGGGACATAAGCAGGATAAGTGGGCATGGAATGGGCAGTTTGATGGACAGGACTAAAAGATGTGGAGAAGCCAGTACTACCTTCTCTAGGGCAACTTGAGAGTGCAGACCCCAACGTTGAGATCATACCGGCAACTGAGCCTTTCTCATCCGCCGTCCCGATCCCCGTAACGCCGCCGCAGAAGTCCAAATTTGCCGAACCGGCGCTCGTCACGTTGTCTGGAGTGGCGTCTTTCGGCGGAGTGGGGGGAAAGCTGAACAAGTAAGGACTAGAGTGCGAAGGAAGGCCAGACGTGCTGGGTACAGGATGAGTAACCCCTAGAGAGGCTCCTGTAGCACTCGGGTGATGAGAGGACTTGGCCGTGAAGGGAGAGCACCATGCTGGATGCGGTACCATGGGTTTGGGTGTCTCGGTGATCCATGGGTGTAGAGTCGCATGGAAATGTGGTCGACACACCTGGCCTCCTGGTACTCTGGCTGAGGGAGAAAAAAAAAGTTTGTCAAATGAGCTGTTTTCGGGGAAAATGTGAGTAATCTTATCGATACTGTTAAATATTATTCTAATATCTATATCACTTTGTTTTCAAGTTGAGTTATACGATTTCGTATTTGTTTTTTATTGTGTAGGCTGGTGAATGAGATACATAAAATATTCAGTAATCTCCTGTAATGTAGAACATCACGATTTTTTTAACTTAATATTGAAGTGACAACAGTTTGAAGAAGATATCAAAATTAACAAGTTTTAACTTAATTTATTCAAATAAACCAAACTCTCTCTCAAACGGTTCGTATTGAAGCGTTAAACTACAAGCAAGGTTTGTATTGAAGCGTTAAACTACAAGCAAGGTTTGTATTGAAGCGTTAAACTACAAGCAAGGTTTGACTTTTAAACGGTTCGTATTGGTGTATTAAACTACAAGCAAGGTTTGTCTTTAAAAAGGTTCGTATTGAAGTGTTAAACTACAAGCAAGGTTTGTCTTTAAAAAGGTTCGTATTGAAGTGTTAAACTACAAGCAAGGTTTGACTTTAAAAAGGTTCGTATTAAAGCTATAAGTGTTAAACTACAAGCAAGGTTTGTCTTTAAAAAGGTTCGTATTGAAGTGTTAAACTACAAGCAAGGTTTGTCTTTAAAAAGGTTCGTATTAAAGCTATAAGTGTTAAACTACAAGCAAGGTTTGACTTTAAAATGGTTCGTATTGAAGCTATAAGTGTTAAACTACAAGCAGTGGTTCGTATTGAAGCTACAAGTGTTAAACTACAAGCAAGGTTTGACTTTAAAATGGTTCGTATTGAAGCTATAAGTGTTAAACTACAAGCAATGGTTCGTATTGAAGCTACAAGTGTTAAACTACAAGCAAGGTTTGACTTTAAAAATGGTTCGTATTGAAGCTACAAGTGTTAAACTACAAGCAATGGTTCGTATTGAAGCTATAAGTGTTAAACTGACCTCTGTTATATATACCGTAGAAAACTGTGAGAGTTTCTACGTTTTTTTAGTGGTAACCACTGGTTACATGGTTCTATTAGAATGTGTTCGTTAATGAACCCGAGAAGAAAGTACGTGGTGTTAGTACGTGGTGTTAGTACGTGGGGTTAGTACGTGGGGTTAGTACGTGGTGTTAGTACGTGGGGTTAGTACGTGGTGTTAGTACGTGGTGTTAGTACGTGGTGTTAGTACGTGGTGTTAGTACGTGGGTTAGTACGTGGTGTTAGTACGTGGTGTTAGTACGTGGGTTAGTACGTGGTGTTAGTACGTGGTGTTAGTACGTGGGGTTAGTACGTGGTGTTAGTACGTGGGGTTAGTACGTGGTGTTAGTACGTGGGGTTAGTACGTGGTGTTAGTACGTGGTGTTAGAAAAACACATCATTCGATGCCATTTACATGTTGCCTAGCAACAAAAAACTCAAAGTACGGTTTCTGCCATTCTCATGAAATAGTTCTATTCTGACGAGTTATCACCCCAATTTTAACGGTTGTGTTTATAAAGCTGGGGATTAGTAGTAACCCGTGTTTATAAAGAACTGGCATCACATTTTTGTAACACTAATACTTTTTCCTTTGTTTCATACACACAGATCTATGAGTCTTGTAAATATATTTGTCTCTCTATAGATGTGATAATATATTTCCGAGAACAGACGTGTAACAGCATCGAACGGGTTTCACACACAAGAATATTGTAAAAATTGGGGGGATTGTTCATATCGTTCTTAGGCCTGACACGGCCATGTGGTTAGAGCGCTCGATTCGCAATCTGTGGGTCGCGGATTCCAATCCCCGTCCCACCAAACGTGTTCGACCATTCGGCCGTGAGAGCGTTATAATGTTACGGTCAATCCCACTATTCGTTGGTAAAAGAGTAGCCCAAGAGCTGGCTGTGGGTGGTGTTGACTAACTGCCTTCCCTCTAGTCTATCGCTGCTAAAGTAGGGAAGGCTAGTGCAAAGAGCCCTCGTGTAGCTTTGCGCGAAATTCAAAACAAGACAAACCAAGTCTTAACGTTCTTTGGAAAGTAGATTCATTAACAAACAGTGCAGTCTGCTACCTTCATTTTCCTCTCCAAAGTTTAGCGTCATCCCAAATTCGTAATCAGAAGCTTAGCAAGAAATCAGCTGATTTTGTGGATCCAATAGTCGTATGTCACTTTTTAAAGTCATAACTCCTCTCTCTCGGAACAATTATGTAAATTTTTAAAGGAAGTCTCTCGTGATATATGTGAAAGTACGTGATTTATCGTCAGTTATTTTTTTATTTACACAAAGACAAGGATTTTTAGTCATAAACCCGAGTGTGTTAATTAATGTTGCTTCTTTTAGCCCAGTTCTACCATCTAAAGAAATGCTCACCCTCAGGTGACATCTGGACAAAGAAGAACGGACCTAGATTCATTTGATATTATTTTATTGGTTCGAGATTTGTAGCGAGAAGCAACTTAAAACCCTTCATCCCTAACGAAGCTGTACACAAGTCAAGCTTCTTGTGGTTCCACCCGGAGATGAGCAAAAGACTGACAGAAGGATCTGCGTTAATGATCCCCGGGAAGTTGTAACGTCCAAGAGATGGCGCTTGCTGCTCATTTGATAAATACTCTTTGGAAGAAGGGGGCGGAAAGACGTTGGTAACTTGTTAGTTTCGACACAAATAAGAAGATAGCCATGTGATGATCCAACATACACTTTGAACACTTTTTTTTTATCCAAGATTACAACAGTGTAGATGTAAAATGAAACCCGGATTCTTGTGATCACATTTTAACAGAAACCCAACCTTTAAGATTCGGGTTTCCTACACAATTGTTTTTTTTTTTATATCTACAGAAAACAGCCCCGAACCAGATAAGACTTTCAGACCCATCACAGAACATTCTGTTAGGACAAGACTGTCTGTATACTATGTGACAGGTAGAAACTGTTAGGACAAGACTGTCTGTATACTATGTGACAGGTAGAA